ATAAACCAGAAGTAAATGAATTAGAACAAAGAAAAAGTGACATTAATAGATCCAAGAATGAATCATTTTTTAAACAAGCCTATTAAAAACCACAAACCTGTAAGAACTGGGGCGGCTGGAGTCATGGCAAGGCAAGCATTTTTTAAAAGTTTCTTCCCCTCTTCGATGGAGTTTTAGTTGAAAGGAGTGCAGCTGAAACTAACCAAAGGAGGTATTATGGCTCCAGAAAAATCTCAAGGAAAAGTGTTGCAAGCAACAGTAGTAGCTGTTGGATGGCGCTCTAAAGGAAAGGGTGGAGAGATTCAACCAGTTATTGTGAAAGTTGGAGATGAAGTTCTTTTCCCAGAATATGGAGGTACCAAAGTAGTTCTAGATGACAAGGATTATTTCTTATTTAGAGATGGTCACATTGGAAAGTATGTGGACTGGAATCATTATTAAAATGGTATGAAGTGAAGCTGCTCATTCCAGTGAAGTGAAATCTTTCATCATGTAAATAATTTTCATGTCTCTCTTTTATAATAAACTAATGGTATCTAAACTAAAAAAACAAAAAACAAAACACAAAAAATCCCACAAACCTACAGTAAATCCAATTGAAAGAAAATATTTAAGAATTGTAAATGTCACGTAGCGGATGAAGAAGTAAGTATGCTACCAAAATTTTAGAAAATCTCAACAAAATTGGTGATTTTCTGGGAAAGAACCCTTAGTTCCAAAATTCATTCAAGAAGTAGCAAAATCTATGGGGCACCTGGCTGGCTCAGTTGGTGAAGAGTCCAGTTCTTGATCTTGGGGTTGTGAGTTCGAGCCCCATGTTGGGTGTAGAGATTACTTAAAAATAAAATATTTTTTAAAAAAGGTAGAAAACTCTAAATAAACCAGTCCTAAGGAAGTAATTGAAAAGGCTATCAAAGAATCATCTCCAGAAAAGCTCAATTCTGTAGTATTTTAATTTTTAAAAAGTGTTTACTACATGTGTATGATGAATTCTAACTTTTCCATTTGGAATATACAGAGAAATAGAAAGAAAAGGTGAGACTCACTCCCTTTTCATTACCTAAATACACTGTTGACATTTTATTACTTCCAACTTTTAATATTTCGTCTGTTTTAGTTATTATATTCTAAAAATACTTTTATAGGCTGTTTAACATTTAAATGTATTAAAAACTTTTCATTTTATTATAAGCCTTTCATAAGAATAAATTACATCTACACATTGTTTGCGATAATAAATAGTACCTTACAGAAGAGTTGGAACGTTGACATCAGATACATCAGGCTCGATGCTGGACACAACTGATGTTCAACAAATGGCAGCCATGATGTCAGAGTTTGCAAAGGACTTTTCCTTTTGCTACATCACTTAATTAATTTATAATGGGTATTTCTATCTCACAACACACTTTTTCCTCTTTAGGAGGAATGGGTAAATTACATGCTTCCCAGAGAGGCCAAGCATGAATTCTTTAAAAAAAAAATATTTATTTATTTATTTATTTAGAGAATGGGGAGAGCGCAGGCGCATGCACCAGCCAGGGTGGTGGGGTGGGGGCAGAGGGAGAGAGAGGATATTAAGCAGGCTCCACACCCAGCACCTAACTGACTCGGGGCTTGGCTCAATTTCATGACCCTGAGATCATGACCTGAGCCAAAATCAAGAGTCAGATGCTTGACCCACTGTGCCACCCAGGGGCCCCACCAGAAATGTATTCTTGCTCCTGGGGGAGAATCCTCCTGCTTGGCTGGTTTTGTTAAGAAGGCAGAGTCCAGGCTGAGCAGGGTTGAACAGTCTTTTTCTATACCTAAGGAGAAGTGTCCTGTGTCCCAACACTCAGAGACCCATGCAGGGCCAGGGTCCTGAGTGATACAAAGAAACAGTAGTGAACTCAGATTTGGGTGAGGGCCTTTCATATTAGGCATTTGTCCTACATGGCATAGAAATGAAGGGTGGATTCATACTCAGTGCTCCCACCTCCAGCCTCTCAACCTCCACATTTCTTTCATTTTTTAAAAAATATTTTATTTGCTTTATTAGCTTGAGAGAAAGCAAGAGAGCAAGAGGCAGAGCACAGAGGGAGAGAGAGAGAAGCAGACTCCCTGCTCAGCAGAGAGCCCGACGTGGAGCCCAATCCCAGGACCCCGATCATGCCTTGAACTTAACTGTCTGAGCCACCAGGCGTCCCTCCACTGACATTTCTTTAAATCATGCTTTCTCACCTCATGTTTTCACTACCTTTGCTTTGGCTTCCTGTTTGCAGTTTGTTTTCCTGGCGTCTCTGGCCTTTCTCCTTCCCTCCGTTTATCCCAGACCTTCCCATATTCATAGCTTTTTCTTCTCACCTCTCCCCAGTCTCCCGTTTGGGCCTCATCCCACAGCCTTCCCACAGCTGCTCCTGTCACTGAATGCTTCAGATCTCCAAGCTTCTCTTTCTGAGCTGCACCTCCGCTTTCAGCCCCAGGCCTTCTCACTCTGACGTGAGGGTCGAGCCCCATCACGTGTGTTGTGCTCTCATCTCACCCAAAGGACTAGTCTCCACGGGTTTCACTTGGAGCTGCTGCAGGTGACTTTCAATAATTACCTATACATTCTATCTAAGGAAGATTTTAAAGTGGCTTTCCTCTACCTTCAGGTGCACAAGCACACACTTTTAAACTTATTTTTTAATCTAAATCTTCAAGCTGTTGTTAGCAGAAAGCCCTTTTCTTCAGAGAAAATCTTATTGGGGGACGGAGCTCTTGGTGGCAAGCTGGCCTGGAACCCACAAGCCCCTGAGAAGCCCTTAGGGCAGGACAGGGCTCCCCCAGGTGGAGGAGCAGGGAGCACAGGGAGACCCCAGGAAGCTGTGTGGCAGTGGACTGCGTCTAAACACACAGAAGTGATAATCTGTTCCAGTCAACTCTTGCCTTGTGGGAATATGCCATCTAGTGTTGCCACAGCATGCATTTTTTAAGAGAATCCAGAAAGTCATATTTTATGTGAAATCGACAGATTTTTAAAAAATTGGGGCACCTGGGTGGCACAGTCAGTCGGGCATCTGATTCTTGATTTTGGCTCAGGTCATGATCTCAGGGTGGTGATATCGAGCCCTGTTTCAGGCTCTGAGCTCAGCAGGGAATCTGCTTGAGGATTCTCTCTCTCCCTCTGCCCCTCCTCCTGCTCATGCTCTCTCTAAAGAAATAAACAAAATGTTTTAAAAAAATCTACTCACTGGGGCACCTGGGTAGTGCAGTCAGTTGGGCGTCTGATTCTTGATTTTGGCTCAGGTCATGATCTCAGGGTCATGAGATCGAGCCCTGCGTTGGGCTCCGTGCTCAGTGCAGTCTGCTTGGAACTCTCCCTCTCCAAATAAATAAACCTTAAAAAAATAGCTTTAAAAATTTGAAAAATTTTATATATTATTGAAGAAAATAGCATTTGGGAAAAATACATGTGCAGGCCAAATACAGCCCACTGGCCCATTTGCCATCTCTGGTGGAAGATGTGAAGGGTCACTGGAATGTGCATGATCCATCCTCCTGCTGACCTTTCCTATCTGCACAAATCATTCATCCCAGATTACAGAGTGGTTTTTGTACTCACAAAGTTTTCATGTAGATAATTGATAGGCTGATGTCTCTTATCAAGTTAACCTAAAATGCAGGATTTTTTTTTTTTTATGTAGATGAGGTGTTAACTCTAAATTCACACTTCAGACAAGACCATTATCCTAACTCCAAAGAAAACAGTGGGGAGAAGGAGGGAGGGGACAGCAGCTGTCTCTACAACCCCCAAGTACATATCTCACGGATCACTGAGGTTTCCTAAGCCCTGGCTTCAGAGACGAAGTCTGAGAATGTGGAAGGACGTGCTTGTTTGGTAAGCTGTCGGGATCACCTGTCTCAGCTCCGGAAGTATTCTCAAATGACTGCGCAAACTGCAGTGGTGATCACAGAATTCCCCATGTCGCTGTCATGGGGGCGTCCCCTGCTAGCTGTGCTTTTCTGGCGTTCTGCAGGAATGAGCGCCGACAATCACCAGGGCTTCTCTCCAGTGTGGATCCGCTGATGTACAATGAGGTGTGAGCTCCGCCGGAAAGCTTTCCCACATACGTCACACTCATAGGGCTTCTCTCCAGTGTGGATTCTTCGGTGTCCCAGAAGATGTGAGCTGTAACTGAAAGCTTTCCCGCATACGTCACACTCATAAGGCCTCTCTCCACTGTGGATGCGCTGGTGTCCCACCAGGGCTGAGCTGTGGCTGAAGGCCTTCCCACACTCATCACACTCATAGGGTTTCTCCCCACTGTGGATTCTCTGGTGATGGAAGAGGCCTGAGCTCTGGCTGAAGCTTTTCCCACACTCGCTGCAGTGGTACGGCTTCTCCCCAGTGTGGACTCTCTGATGCTGAATCAGATGTGAGCTCAGACAGAAAGCCTTCCCACAGTCTCTGCACTGGTATGGCTTCTCTCCTGTGTGGGTCCTCTGGTGTCGAACAAGGCCTGAGCTGTAGTGAAAAGCTTTCCCACACTCATTGCATTGGAAAGGTTTTTCTCCAGTGTGGATCCTCTGATGCTGAACAAGGTGTGAACTGTAATAAAAGGCTTTTCCACACTCATCACACTGATAGGGTTTTAACCGGTTATGTATTCTCTGATGGTCAGTAAGTTGTGAGCTCTGGATGAAAGTTTTGCCGCACACATTACATGAATAGGGTCTTTCTCCAGTGTGGATTCTTTTATGTCTAATGAGGCTTGAGTTTTGAGTGAATCTTCTCCCACATTCATCACACTTGTATCTTTTCTCAGTTGAAGTGTTTCTCTGATATCTTTTTGTCCATCCTTCCTGTTCTTGGGTCTCTCCACATTCAGGGACCTTTCCATTCATTTGGCCAGATGACTTTTTTGGAGACTCCGTATCTATAGTTAACTCCTGCTTTTGAATCAGTTCCCCTTTCCCAATTCCGATCACATCATCTGAAACAAAAAGGATAGATTTCAAATATCAATGACATATACAGGAAATAAAATTAAACCCATATACTAGAAGCACACAGCTGAACTATGCCAGCAAAATAGTTTTACAACATTTGAGGAAGAAAGTGGGAGACTGCAAAGGAAGAGAGGACTAGGAGTGTCTGGACTAGCAGGGCACGATTTGAGCAGAGTGGAGATTAAGTCAGGGAGGAACAAGTCAACAACAGAAGAAAAGATCTGAGATGAAAGCAGGTTCCGAGCGAAGACCAGAGTAGAGAGGGATGAAGGAACGGGACTGTGGGAGGAGCAGAAGGGAAGCCATGGGGGCCAGTGCTGATGTGGAGCTGAGAAGGAGCTCTGGGCAGGTGGCGAAGGCCTCTGGGAGACTGAAAAATGCGGGGCTGGAGTGCAGAAAAGTACCTATTTCCAGATACGCAGAACAAGGAGATCAGAGTCTAGACACATGGGGCACAAAAGGTTGTTATCATGTAGGGACAGACAGAAACCGATTTGGCCCCAAAGACATCACTACTCTTCTTGCAAAGGAGAACCTGGGAGTCTGTCAAGCCTGAAGCTACACTCTGTGGACCATTGAGACTTCTCAGGCAAACAGTCACGAACACAGAGGACGGTCTTTAGCAGACCCAGACTCCCGTCTGTCCTGACCCCAGGAAAGCATGTTCCCATAATTCCCCTGCCTGACTCTCCTACAAAGGTGGCTCTGAGCAGGGTCCCAACACCCCCATCCTCCAGGGTGGGCCATGTGGCCACTTCCTCAGTGGTCAACAGTTGCTGAAAAAAAGTGAGATTGTCCCACTCAGGCATATTCTCCCTGAAGTAATCCCATTTTAGGACCCAGAGTGAAGGGCAGAATTTGTAACCATGTAGGAATAATGCAGGGAAAAGCGATATGCTTTTAAATGGGGGGGGGGGGTGGCAGCAATGGGAGGAAAGACAAGTATGGAGACAGCTGAAGATCCAGGAGGCGGTATACGTCAGACCTAACCCTAGGCAGAGGCACGGGCCAACTGCGCCCAAATGGGTCAGCTAAGGATACTCTGGGAGGATGGGGCGAAGGAGCCGTGGCCAAACTGCAGGTGTGAGCTCTCTGAGTGTGGAGGAGGGACAAAGTTCACTGGCACCCCACCTCAGGAAAGTGACAGCCCCCCTGGGTGTTAAGGGCTCCCACTGTATGCAGGAGGAGCCGAGAAGCAATGCTGCCCAGAGTGGGAGGAGCTTTCCCTTTCTGCAGGCCTCCTTTTAGGACTGGGGCCTGTGGTAGTTCCTCACCAGACCACCCAGCCGCACTGCTGAGAAAGTTCTCCTGTTACTGGTTACATAAGGTTGTCTTAAAAGTTTGGGGCACTTTAATAGCTTTGTGATAGCTACCTTAGATACATTTGTGTGCAGAATTCAAAGGAAAATCACACAAAGTACACATTTATGTAAGAACAGTCTTTTAGGGGCACCTGGGTGGCTCAGTCCGTTGAGCGTCCAACTCTCGATTTCAGCTCAGGTCATGATCTCGGGGTCGTGAGACTGAGCCCCGCGTGGGGCCCTGCTCAGTGCAGAGTCCACTTGGAATTCTCTCTCCCCCTCTCCTTCTGCCCCTCCCCCTGCTCCTGTGCTCGCACGTGCTCTCCCTAAATATGATCTTTAAAAAAGAAAAAAAGAACATAATCTTTTAGAGCCATTAGCAAATATAAAATGTACTGTAGGATGGGATCCAAAACATCGCTGCACATAGAACAGAAAATTCGTATCAGCATTAGAAAAAACTAATGGATTATTATTAAAAAACATCACAGCATAGAAACATAATTTCTGACTGACTGAAAAAGGTTGGGGAAGGGGTTCCCGGCTAGCTCAGCCAGTAGAGTATGTGACT